GAAGAGCCACGTGCACTGACTTGAGTTCTTTGACCAAAAAAACACAAAAAACCCCCACAAAATGGGTAGTGTATAAATAAAATATCACTTAAAGTACTTTGGAGAAAAGCTGGGATAGAAATGTAATACAAATATACATTCATCCTCCCCCAAAAAGAGAGGGGGTGGGGACGGAGGGAGGAAGGCATGAGAAAACAAATTTTTGCTTGATATTAAGATGAGAACATCAACATAGAGTTAGAAGAGACCACATGGGCCATCCAGTCCACCCCCTGCTACACACAAACACACAATCAAAGCACACTCAACAGATAACTTCCATAAAAGGTTTCGAAGCAGATTTTTTTGCAGCAATGCTGGCAGAGCTGAGGATATAATAGTTCAAACTGGGGTGGTGTAGTGGTGGAGAAACAAATCCTACTTAGTAGTGACCGAAACATGAACTTCCAGTTTTGACTTTTTGGTTTCCAAGTGCTCTTTTTTTTGGAGGGGGGGGGGCATTGCAGTAGCAATCTTGCAGTAGCAGATTTGGGTTTACTTAATCTATGAAAACCCAAATCTGCTACTACAAGAGCAGAAAGACCATTTTGACCAATTGCTTTTCAAGGAAAGACTAGGCTCTCAAGAAGCAAGGGATATGCCCCACAAAAAGGGCCTTGGGGTTGTTTGTTGTCACTTTTGGAACTATTAAAAATCCCCCTTTTAGAAATGATCACTATGGGAAAGGGCCTTTAACAAAGATCTCTAACAGGAAGAGAAATGTAAATTGCTACAAACTGAGTTCTGTCAGCATTTGAAATTTGAAAGTGAAGAAAAGGCATAAAAAGTGCAATCCTATCCCTGCATACCTTGGAATAAGTAATACTTTCATCTAAATACACTTACGGTGTGAGGCTGTAACTTTATGTACCTTTCCTAGGAGTGATCCCCCTCTCCAAAATCACCTGGAACTTAGTTCTGAGAAAACATGCATAGGATTGTGCCACTGAGATTCCAAACAAAAGAATTGTACTAAGGAAATGGTTTCACAAGAGTTGAAAAAATAAACCGAGAAAGAAAGAATTTCACAAAGTAACATTAACTAGCCAAAAAAGGCCTTTGTTTTCAGTGCTCTAAAATGAAGCAATATACAGCTGACTATCACTGGGAATTAACCAGGACCCAAATGACTGTCATTCCATAATTGTAGCATTATATAATAGAATTTTTCCAGCACGTACTGTGGCACTGGGCATGAATTATATTTGACCCTTTGGCTGCTATACCAAGACATAATGATCACATTTAACTGAATAGTTGTAACTGAATGGATTTAACTGGCAGGGGGATTACAGGCAGTCTCTGAGTTACAAACATCTGACTTACAAAGGACTCATAGTTAAGAACAGAGTGAGACAACAGGAAGTGAGACAAATCTACCCACTAAGAAGGGAAGTTCACTCCTGAAATAGTTTTCATGGGGAAAAGATATCTCTACTGAAGCTTTCTCGCCAATCCTTGTTTCCATTACAAGACATTTTTTTCAAAATGGCTTTTTTATGGAAAGTGAGGTGAAATCTTCTGAACAGAGTTACACACAGCAAAACAAACACCACAGAGGTGTTAACCCTTTCCTATGCTATCCAAAGCTAATATTTGGCTGGAGTTACACTTAAAAAGTGTACCTGTTCTAACTTAAATACAAATTCAACTTAAGAACAACCCTACAAAACCTATCTTGTTCATATCTTGGGGACTACCTGGAATGTTCTTTAGATAAAAAGCTGTGTTAGAGCCAATCCTCACCTTTTGTGGGGATCAGGGGCAGAGCAACCCTATGAAAGAGGGGAAACCATGCGGAAAACTAAGGTGGATTTAGATAGGGTGGGTACATCTGATCCTTCTATGTTGATGAGCAATAGTTCCCATTAACTTTAGGTTGTAAACCGCCATGAGTTGCCCTCGGGCTGAGAATGGCGGTATAGAAGTGTAGTAAATAAATAAAAAATAAAAAATAGATACCTTGACATACCTACATAACAATTGTTCTGTCGCCACTGGGTCCGAACAAAATGTCTTTATTCAATAGAACGCACACTTTAAACCCAGTGGGAAGGCAGGATGCCCGAAGAGAGATTGTTAGAGACTTCCAGAAGTAATGGGCTTTAGAGTTCTTTACAGGTACAAAAAAGTCTTTATTAAGGAACAAATCTTCAAACAACACTTCAAGGCTTTCTTAAACTAGTCTTTAAGAGACTGGCACTGACTTGGTTTAACTATACTATCTCAACATGAGGAAGAACCCTTTATAATCTCTCCCAGGCCGTCCATCGCCTAGGCCAATGATGGGCAACCTTTTGAGCTTGGTGTGTCAATATTCGCCAAAAAACTGAGCATAACTCGAGTGGGGTGTCACTTTGAGAAGAAACCCCATAATTTCATGATATTTATAGTTTAATAACAAAAATATATTATTGTAATATATAACTGTATTTAATAAACCAAAAACTAACTATTTAACTTACCTGCTTTTTCTATAATGCCACATATCTCGGCATTATAGAAAAAATGCTGGTGTAGGAGCCGAGGATGAAATGTCCTTCTTGGGATGCGGCCCCATCTTCTCTGTATGCGGCCACATGTGGCTGTGTGTCATCGAAAACGGCTACGCGTGTCAGTGCTGACACACGTGTCATAGGTTCGCCATCATGGGCCTAGGCCTCGCTGGTCTGGGTATAACTGCCGATCCCCAAATGCGTCTGGAAACTGAGTAACCTACCAGATGAAGCTAGAAGATACTTAGCTGGAATTCTGTGGTTCTGTAGTGCTGTCCTGTGGGAACTTCAGGGCTGTTTTCCCCTCTGGTGCTGTGAAGCTGAGAGGCTGCGAGCTCTCAGCCAGAGCCTTTGGGACCTTTTCCTTCTGTTTCCCTGGAACTGGATGGTCACTGGATGACCCCTGGATGGTCACTGGATGGACCCCAGATCACCTCTGGATGATCCCCGGATGGCTTTGAGGAATGAAGCCTTTCCTACGGGACAAGCTGATCTGCATCCTTTAGACTGGCTTCCTTGTGCGTGACTGACCAAAATGGTTCCTCTATTTTCCAAAGCCCAGACTAAGGGGCGGAACCAAAGCTAAATGTAGATGGACCGGGGGCTTGCCCTATGTCTGCAGACTATAACAGGAAGCCACCCTGCTGCAAAATCCCAAGCCTGGGATTACAAACAAACATTTAAACAAGGCAAATAAAGTTGGAGCCCCTGGTACCAGAACAGCAATGATGTTATATATATAATAATTATATGTTAATTCCATCTGAAGCTTTTCTACAATGCAAGCTTGCTAGCACATAGCAAAAGAACACAAGATAAATTGTGCGGGATGACACGAGACATTACCTTCCTCTATTTTATATGTTTTAATTGGCCTGGTCATGAACAAGAGCACAAGAAGTGACATATTATTTCTAAACTGGAATTAGGAAAGACTATGTGGAAATCAGGAAAGGGGGAGGGGGGAGACTTTGGTGTCTTTCCAAAGTAAGCTGTACTAGGCAAGTATGAGGAACCCAAATTCAACTGATGTTGTGAGATTATACTCAACCATCCACAGTTACAGGATTAGGGAGGAATCCAACATTTTGAGGGCTACACAATGTCCTTCTCTACAGTAAGGAAAGGCAATGAATGTAGGCTATCCACAAACATTCAAAAACGAGTTAGGAAATAATGAAATATTGCAAGAGACAAGAACAGTTAAGAGAGGAATTTATGAGATTTCATACTATATGCTTATTTTACTAAGAAGTTTTCTTCTGACTGTTCATCTTTGAGAGACCCAGCACAGCCAAACAATAGTTTGATTGTGGGACTATGACTCTGGAGACCAGGATTCATATGTTCACTCAGCCATAGAAACCCAATTACCTTGTGGCAATCACACTCTCTCAGCTTCAGAAGAAGGTAAAGGCACTTTTCCAATGAATCTCTCTCCTGCCCCCAAGAAAACAAACATGATAGGTATGCCTCGCAGGACTGCTGTAAATTGGAAATGACTTAAAAGCACACAACAACAACAACAATCCATCTTAATTGTTCCCTTGTTAAATAAAGTTTTTTTTGTTAAAAATGCTTTAAAATTGCTGCTTTTGATTCTTCACATTAATCCAGAGCAGCAATTACACCAGAGAGTTTTAGATGTTGAAAGGTGTGGGAATAGGTAATGCGAGTGCCATGCAGGCTCCCTCTTCCCCAATCCTCTTTCTCACATAAATGCGTATCTCACTGTATTTGTGTATCAGAATTCTGTTTGGGTGGTGAGAGAGAAATACTGGGTATTTATCTTCAAAAATACATTTCTTTGATATAGAAATGGGTTCTTCTCATGTCTAGCATGCAGCCAGAGATATGATGTGTGTATGAAAGTGAGGACTGACTCTACACATGATCATACATGGATGTCTCATGGTGTGATGACATGGATGAATGTATGAATTTGAAAGTATGACATCTGAGGACTTTTAACCTATCCAACTCAAAGTGAGGGTTTCACATAGTTCTAGTGTTACATTTTGTACTTATTTATTTCTTGAATTCATTTATATACCGCTTTTCTCACCCCGGGGGGGGGGGGGGGGGGGACTCAAAGCAGTTCATAGCAAAGTAAATGGCAAAATTCAATGCCTTACAAAATATAAATACATTAATATATGACTTTAAAACAAATAAATAAAGGATCATCTCTTCTACTGATGGTTTCAATATGCAGCATTATAGTTCCAGAGAAATTGTGTGTGTGTGTGTGTGTGGGGGGGGGGGGTATCCTAGTGTTTAGTAGCTCTGGCATTGTTTGATGAATTGTTTAAACAATATTGGCCCTACTTTATATTGGCCCTACTTTAAAATGCATAAAGATTTTTGTCTTTTTAGTCCACTCTGTACGTTATCTCACAGGAAGAGGACCAAGAATCCATTTAGTTAACACATAGCATTTTTCAAAAAGAATGACAATGGGCTTACGTTTGAAGTTTTTCGTTGGCTTGTTGTGAAGCCTCTAAAGCTTGCTGAAACTTTAATTCCATGTTTGTTCTCTCTTCTACTGTTTGCTGAAGCTGGGTTGCTAGCTCCTCATTCTGGAGAAGAAGCATGGATACAATATCCTCTCTGTTCTTCAGAACCTTTTCGTAAGTCAGAAGAGCAGAGTTGAACTGATCCTTAAGGCTCGCTTCTTGAGACAAAGATTGGTGTAAGCTGGAAGAGAAGGTACACATTTAAGTGATGTGAAATACGTCTAGAAAATGTAAAAATAATAGTAATAATAATACGGCGTGCTGATGAAAATTTTCAGTAAATATGTACAAAAATTCCATAACCAAAATATTTCACTATTAAATACAAACAGCACAGCAGAAAATGACTTGAAATGCCCACTCAACTCTCTATTTCATATAAAATATGACCCCCTCTGATCTTCCGAGGTCAGCTGTAGTTTGCACTTGGATGGGAGCCCACCAACAAATACCAGGTGCCATAGCCAATATTACAGATGAAGAAACTGGCAAAACTACATCTGAGTGTTCCTTGCTTAAGAAAACCCCATGAAATTCATAGGATCACCATAAGTCGACAGATAATTTAAAGGCATATTGTTTGGAAGCAATAATTGGATTTAGGACAATTGCATTAACATTAAATCAATACAAATGGAATTACAATTTTGTACCGTGACACATGAATGTGAAACATTCTACTCCTTTATTGGCTTCCTCTTATGGCAAGTCTATGAACAACGTATAAATTAATTTTAGTCCATTTTTTTTAAAAAAGCTCTTACTGGAGATAGAACATATCAGTGTTGATTATATGAAAAAAACACAGTACTAAACCAATCCATATCATTTTGTTATTAGTCAAGGATTCTAGCATTTACTTTACTGCACCTCTGGATCTCTTCGATCTTCCAAACTGAGACACATTTTTTGAAAATGTCTTTCTTAGGGGCAGGAACATGAAAGGTGACTCACAAGAACATACACATGGCACATCTTCATTCATATTTTGCAATGTAAAAAGTTACATTGATGGATCATCTAAAATGTCATAAAATAATAGAATCATAGAGCTGGAAGAGACCACATAGGTCATGCAGTCCAATCCCATTCTGCCATGCAGGAAAAGCACAAAGTACTCCTCACAGATGGCTATCTAGCATCTGTTTAAAAACCTCCAAAGGAGGAGCCTCTACCATGCTCCAAGGCAGAGGGTTGCACTGTTAGGGCCAGGAAGTTCTTCCTAATGTTCAGGTGGAATCTCCTTTCCTGTAATTTGAACCCGTTGCTCTGAGTCCTAGTCTTCAGTGCAGCAGAAAACAAGCCTGCTCCCTCTTCCTTATGACAGCCTTTCAAATATTTAAACATGGTGATGTCTCCTCTCAACCAACTCTTCTGCAGGCTAAACACCCCCAGCTCTTTAAGCCACTCCTCACAAGGCATGTCTAACCCAGTATCCTTTTGCCACAGTTGTTAAACAGGTGCCTATGAGAGAACTATCAACATGAGAGCAACAACATGTTTCCAAAGCATACACAGAGGAATACTTCATCCACTGCTGATACTAGTATGTGAACAACATGATCACAACCCACTGATTGCCTTATCCTCATGATTCCTGGGTAGCCACATTTTGTAGATAATCAGAATCTATGTCTTAATGACTTCCTCACAGTGGTTTTGAACTGGTATGTACTGACTGGATAAAAACCGAAAGCCCTCAGCCATTGAGTCAACTACTGAACAGTGAGTCAACACTTAGGTAAAAGTTTTCAAAGCTGTGTCACTCCTTTGCATCATAAAAATTAAAAGTGGGGGTGGATGGGCGGGAAGGAAACAGGAGGAAGGAGGACTCCAGCAGCCCATTTAAGACTAACTTGTTTCAACACAAGTTTTTGTTTATTTCAGTTCACTTCTTAGATACTCGAATGGAGAGATATTAAAATCAACAGGTCTTTAAGCACAGTCACATAGTTGTAGAATGACTTATAAGACAACTCCTGTTGGATCAGAGCAAACGCTTGTCTAGTCCTGAATCACGTTCTCACAATGACTAGGCAAATCCCTATTACAACCATTAGCGTAATTACATATCTGTGGCTGTAATATTATTCCAACAGTGCAGATGAACAAGTGGGCTAACATAAATAGAACCTCATGCTAAAATACATGTATATGTATGTGTAATAAATATGTGTAAAGACTTTAACCATATATTGAGTGAGTAATACCAGATGTTCTAAGCTGAGCTCAGGAAATGGAGAAGCACTAGGAATCATGTAGCAAACATGCACTAGACAATGGCGTGTACCAAAGACTTTCAAAAGAAAATCACCCTATGTTTTAAAGACTATAGCAAACCTTTTGATTGTATAGATTATTAAAAGCTATGGATTACTTTTAAAGAAATAGGTGTTCCACAAAACTTAATTGTCATGACGCTTATCTGTATTCAATATAAGAGGTAACTGTTAAGACAGAACACAGAGAAACGGAATGGTTTCCAGCTGTCAGGAGGGTCAGAGAAGGCTACATTTTATCACCCTACTTTGTATGTCAAAATATCACAAGCAAAGCAGAATTAGATTCTGAGGAAAGAGGCATGAACATTGGAGGAAGGAATAGCAACAATTGAAGATATGCAAATGACTAATAGTAGAAAATAGCAAGGAATTGGACACCATTCAAGAAACTCAAGGTAGAAAGTGCAAAAGCAGGTTTACAGCTGAACACTAAGAAAACAAAAATAATAGACAATGAAGACATAGAAACTGCTCAATCATTACTCATAGTGTCGTCAAGAAATCAGAAGACAGCTATGGTTTAGAAAAATAGCTATGACAAAATCCTGAAGTATGAAGTTATTGTCACTGAATACTACTGAATACCATGATGGTCCATGGCATAATATTTTCTGTTTCTATGTATGGTTATGAAAGCTAGACTGTGCAGAAAGGTGATAGGAAGAAAATCAACCTATTTGAAATGTGATGCTGTAGAAGAGTTCCAAGGAAAACCGTTGGTTGCTCAAAAGATAAATGTATGCTTCCTAGAACCAAAAAAGGCCAAAACATTATCTGAGAGCCAAGATAAGTATATTGAGGCTGTCATATTTTGGATACATAATGAGAAGAGATGCCTCACTATAAAAGATGACAATGCTTGGTAAAGTAGAAGGCAGTAGGAAAGCAAGAAGGCTCCATTCCAGATGGATACACTCAATCAAGGAAGTGATGGCTTTTGGTATACAAGAAATAGTGTTATTGTTACATTTGAAACATCAAATGGAGGAATGAGACCCACCACGTCCATCCTAGACCCCTGCCCATCCTGGCTTCTGAAGGAGGCCAGAGGGGGATTGGCCGAGTGGGTAACGGTGGTGGTTAATGCCTCCCTTCGGGAAGGCAAGATTCCAGCGAGCCTAAAACAGGCTATTATAAAGCCGCTGTTGAAGAAACCATCACTGGACCCCACTAATTTGGACAACTTTCGGCCTGTTTCCAATCTTCCCTTCTTGGGCAAAGTCATGGAAAGCGTGGTGGCCTCACAACTCCAGGTATTCTTGAGAGACACGGATATTCTAGATCCGGCACAGTCTGGTTTCAGACCGGGACATGGTACTGAGACGGTCTTGGTCGCCTTAGTGGATGATCTGCGCCGGGAGCTAGACAGGGGGAGTGTGTCCCTGTTGGTGCTCCTGGACCTCTCAGCGGCCTTCGATACCGTCGACCACGGTATCCTTCTGGGGCGCCTTGCGGAGATGGGTCTTGGGGGCACTGCTTTGCAGTGGCTCCAGTCATTTCTGGAGGGTCGTACCCAGAAGGTATGGGGGGACTCCTGTTCAGCGCCACGGCCGTTGACCTGTGGCGTTCCTCAGGGTTCCATCTTGTCCCCCCTGCTGTTTAACATCTACATGAAGCCGCTGGGTGAGATCATCCGGAGTTTCGGGGTGCGGTGTCACCTGTACGCAGATGACGTCCAACTCTGTCACTCCTTCCACCTGCTACTAAGGAGGCTGTCGAAGTCCTGAACCGGTGCCTGGCCGCTGTAATGGTCTGGATGAGGGCGAACAAACTGAAATTAAATCCAGACAAGACAGAGGTACTCCTGGTCAGTCGTAAGGCCGAACAGGGTATAGGGTTACAGCCTGTGCTGGACGGGGTCGCACTCCCCTTGAAGGCGCAGGTTCGCAGCTTGGGTGTGACCCTGGACTCATCGCTGAGCCTGGAGCCCCAGGTTTCGGCGGTGACCAGGGGAGCATTTGCACAGCTTAGGCTCGTGCGCCAGCTGCGCCCGTATCTTGGGAAGTCTGACTTGGCCACGGGGGTACCGCTTTTGTCACATCCCGCCTCGACTACTGCAACGCTCTCTACGTGGGGCTGCCCTTGAAGACGGCCCGGAAGCTTCAGCTAGTCCAGCGCGCGGCAGCCATGTTGTTAACAGGAGCAGGACGCAGGGAGCATACAACGCCCTTGTTGTCCCAGCTCCACTGGCTGCCGATTTGCTACCGGGCCCAATTTAAGGTGCTGGTGTTATCCTACAAAGCCCTAAACGGTTCCGGCCCAAAATACCTTGCAGACCGCATCTCGGCCTATGAGCCCACGAGGGCCTTGAGATCATCCGGGGAGGCCTTCTCTCGGTCCCGCCTGCCTCGCAGGCACGTCTGGCGGGGACGAGAGAGAGGGCCTTCTCGGTGGTGGCCCCCCGGCTGTGGAACACCCTCCCTACTGAAGTTAGACAGGCGCCCTCTTTGATGGCCTTTCGTAGGAGCCTGAAAACTTGGCTCTGCGAGCAGGCCTTCAACTAAGTGTATCTGTGGAACGACGTTAGAATGGACTATGACTACGAACTTGGCTATGACCCCAGGATTAGACGAAGCGGATTTTTAGTATAAGTATATGTTGTAGTAGTAGTTTGTTATGTAGTGTGTTGATTTTTGTACGCTGTCTTTTATATGTTGCTGTTCACCGCCACGAGTCGCCCTTAGGGCTGAGAGTGGCGGTCAATAAATGCAAGAAATAAATAAAAAATAAATAAATTATCATGTGACAGGTTTTTTTTGTTATATACACAACATAAAGGTACAAATCTTGTCTCTATTGTAAATAAATGTCAGTATTCACATACATTTCAAATGGGAGACATCAATCTCCTCTTAATAATCACAACAGTCCAATATATTGACAGGATATGTCTGATGAT